TTTGACCGCACCCTCGACTAATTCCTTCTCATATCATATCAACGGTCAACCAACTCTACATCATTATGAATACATTACCACGGGGTCAACATCAGGATACAAACACTCAGTCCATACGTCGCAGTTCCAGACTTAATACCAGATCCAACAATGTACAACAACAGTCATCCGCACATCAGAACCTCTCTGTTCTTCCCACTCGTCGCAGTACCAGATTTGAAATATCTTCCAGAACTTTTCATCACGCAGCACCGTTATCTAATAACTTCTCTTCACACTCTTCTCCATCTTCATTTAACAATTCGTCACAAGATGACACATTGACCTCTTCAGTTTTAAACTCCTCCTCTCTAATAAGTTCCGCTCCCAGTCAAGCTAATTTATCCTTCTCATTTTCAAAACCATTTATTCTAGTCACAAATACCACATTAATAACCTATGCTCGCTCCATAAACGCCTTGCCGACACGTTAGAACAGCGCATTTTTTTACTGAAATGCCGCTCCAACTCTCTTTTTCCTAAATCAATCACTAATTCCCTCAATCACATTACTATCTCCAAACCACTCAATTCCAAATTATCTAACTGTTCTTTAAAATTCAAAAAATCGCTCCTTAATTTGAAAATCCGTGAAATCATACAACATATCCATCACCTCAACCAACAAATTTCCGCCATCACTCAATTATTACAAACCATCATGACTGACGAACACATGACTAACCTATCACAAATTATCTCCACTATCTTTATTACTACCAGATCAAAGAAAAAAAGTATTCTCACCACTAAATTTAATGACATTTTTCAGCAATCGTTAGTCCATAAGATATACCCAAAAGGAGACGATAATTGGGTCCACAACTCCTCATCCATAGATATTCCTTCCAACGTCCTCAACATTTTAAGCTTAGGTCCGAATTTTTCCACCCCTAATTCCTCTACCAAACTCATCCCTGAACTTATTACTGACTTGGAATATATTTATAACGATCCGATCTTTCACCATTCTAATGATAATAAAGAATTATCTCGTGTTTCCATAACTAACATTATCTCTAACCATCTCCAACACCCCCCATCCACTACTTCTAACTTTTCCCCTCAATTCTTCAAAGATCTTTCTTCCACACGCTCCTTCCTTAAAAATCATGACGACATCATCATCACTAAAGCGGACAAAGGAAATAAAACAGTTATCATGGACCTCACAGACTATAATAGAAAAATGACTGAACTCCTATCAGACATATCTACATACGCTCCTACAACTCGTGACCCCACTCCTTCTCTTAAAATCCAATTTAACCAACATATCAGAAACCTCTTACACTCTAAACAAATCACATATCCTACTTACAGAAACCTCATCTCTTATAACTCCGTGGCTCCCCGTTTCTATGGTCTTCCAAAAATTCACAAACCCGGCACTCCCCTCCGTCCTATCACTTCTAATATCAACTCTCCCTCTTTAAAACTCAGCAAATTTCTACTCCCATCCTTACAAATCCTTAGTCATGACAATCCATATGATATCCACAACTCCTTTCATCTACGTAATTTGTTATTATCCCTAACCATTCCCGATAATTACATTCTAGTCTCTTTCGACGTTAAAAGCCTCTTCACCAACATCCCTATAGATAAAGCCCTTCTTATAGTAGAAAATAACTGGTCATCCTTAGAGTCTCATACCTCCCTTAACCGTTCATCATTTATTGAATCCCTACAACTTTGTTGCAAATCTGGTTATCTCCAGTTCCATGGACAATTTTATAATCAAATTGCAGGATTAGCTATGGGTAATCCTCTCGCACCCGACTTATCTAACATTGTTCTTAATGATCTCCTAAACACCATAGCCCCACAGTTTCCTAATGACATATTTCTTATAAAAAAATACGTCGATGACCTTCTTCTCATCGTCAATCCTGATACTATTCCTGACATCCTTTCCGCCTTTAACTCATATCATCCCCGCCTCTCTTTTACAGTTGAATACGAAGATAACTATTCCCTCCCTTTCCTCGATCTTCTCATTAAAAGACATCCCAACAATACTTTATCCACAGACTGGTACACAAAACCAACATACTCTGGCAGATTACTCAACTACTATTCTCAACACCCCTTTCACCAAAAACTTAACGTTGCCAAAAACCTCATTCACCGATGTTTTTCTCTATCTGACCCTTACCTACATGAAACAAACACTAGACGCATACAACGGATACTATTGTCTAATAACTTCCCCTCCAACACCATTAAAAAACTTATTACTGACTACAAAACCCGCCCCTCATCCTCCATCCCTTTCTCTAGTTCTCAAAATCAGCCCCCCATTCCTTTATATAGATCTCTACCATACATCCCTTTACTTTCGGATAGAATTCAAAAATCTTTACGTTCCTCTATTCCCAACCTGCGAGTTGCTTTTAAAAACTATAACAAACTTGCCAATATTTACTCCAACCTAAAAGACCCCATCGCTCCGCAACACCGCTCTAATATCGTATACCGCATTCCTTGCTCTACCACCAATTGTAACTCCGCCTATATTGGAGAAACCAAAAACCAACTTAAAGACCGCATCAAACAACACAAATACTCAATTACTTCTAAGAACTCTACTGCTTCTAAACTCTCTGAACACGCCTTAACCTCAAACCACACATTTGACTTTGACAATACCTCCATTCTTGCCACAGTACCTAACCACGACAAAAGACTACTTACGGAAAGTGTTTTCATTCAATTAGACTACAAACCACTAAACTTAAAAACCGACAAGCAAAATCTATCACTCGCCTACTCCCAAATCATCAACATTTTAAAAAAGTCTCGATCATAAACCTCTATTTAATCTTCTCACTTCCATTTATACTTTCTTTTACTTCTCCTTTTATATATATATATATATATATATATATATATATATATATATATATGTATAGATTTATTATATATATATGTTATTTATTATATATATATATATATATAAATTTAAATTTATTATATATATATATATAAATATATTTATTAAAATTTATTATGTATATATATATATATAAATTTATTATATATATATTTATTATATATATGGTTATTTTTACTAGAACTTTTTTTTTTGACACTGCTAACTAGATTTTTTGACACTGCCAGTGTTTCAACCGCCTCCCGCAGTACCACATCCAACGGTATGTTTTGACTTTTATTGAGATTCCTTTCTTAACACACCTATCCTTCAACTATACACCTTATTATTATCTTCATATAGCCTACCATTCCATTACCGCTTTCAAAAAACTAAATGTCAATTGTCATCTATATATAGTACAACCTGTTTTTTGTTTCTTTATCATCATAACCTTGTTTTTACATTTATTCTTACATTTTAAAGTATTCTTTTAAAATTATTGTTTTCTTATAGAGTTATTTATACTTAATAATCTATCCCAACAATATTACACTAATGTTACCCTATTAATCTTTCAATTTCTTCACTTCTTAACCTTTGGTCCCGTTATCTGTTTATTTACAATTAAAGGTAACCTCCACTTGCTTGTTATCCACTGATATCTTATTATTATGTTATCTTATCCATATTTTAACTTTACTGTAACAATAGTTATTCAATTTTCAATCAATTTATTCGTTAACATTCATTTATTCGTTAACATTCATGTATTTATTTTCTTTTATCTATTTTCTTATCATGTATTTATTTTCTTTATCTTTTATTTCTGTATCTGACAACTTCTTCGTAATTTATATATACTTATATTTATTTTTTATTTTATTTTTATTTTTATTTTTTCAACATGTTTGTATCTTTTGTAGCCCTGAAGACGACCTGCAAAGTGGGTCGAAACGTCGGCAAAAATTAAAATTATTTATATATTTTAATTTTTTTATTTTTTTTGACCGCACCCTCGACTAATTCCTTCTCATGTCTTCTTTTTTCATTATTTTCACTATATTAGTCTGGCGGCCTTCTATTAGGAAGTTCTCATCCCAGATTAAAGTGGGAGGGTCCCAGAGCAGCTTTCCACCCGTACACAAAATCTTTGTAATACGGGTAGTTCTGCTCCGTCACTAACTCGGGAAATTCATCCTCCGTGAGGCCATAGATTCCCATTTTTCTTATCATTTCGAACCTTAGTCCATCAAAGGCGGTGCAGTTGACGATAATATGCTCAGCCGTCTCCGGTACTCCGCAAGTGGGGCATAGGGGATCTATGTCTTTTCCAAAACTATGTAACTTAAAGCGGAAACCCCCATGCCCAGTAATGAATTGAGAGACCCAGTAGTCCGGGAGAACCCACTTAGCTTTCAAGCGACTTCGGACGGTGGGGAAATATTTTCTTAAAGTTGCTCCTTTCAAGGGTGTTACCCACCGCCGATTCCACTCATCTATGGTATCCTCCCGGATAATCCTCTTCCATTTTCTTGGGTCTTCTGCAATCCTCACCCGGATATTCTCCGGAAGACCTGCTGAGCCTTTTCTTTTTAACTTAAATATTAGCCAGTCTTCTCGCAGGAGAAGGTCGAGAGATGCTCCTCCTGCTAAGATCTGCACCGCCTCATGAGACACACTTCGGTATGATTTTGTAACTCGCAACAGAGCCGTACGTTGAATTGTCGCCAATCTGCGTTTCTGACGGTGTGAGAGATTCTGAGACCACGCAGGAGAGGCGTACCTCAGAATACCCACTATCATTCCATCGTAAATGATCCTCGTAGCTGGGTATCTGAGGCCCCAAAATGCACCCCCTAGGCGACTAAGTCTATTCAAGGCTAGGGCCACCCTACTTCCTAAGTAGTCCAATTGAGGGGTCATACTAAATCCTCTTCCAAACCTTATGCCTAGGTAGGTGACCACCTCACTTGGACGTATTCTTGTTCCCTGTATACACAGATTGATAGGGTGTGCCCTATCCGTCTTTCCCTTCAGCAGGATTGCCTGGGTCTTTGATGCGGCCATTCGTAACTTCATCCCCTCACACCATTGCCCGACCAGATTGGCGCACTGCTCTGCTTGTAGCTTTATTCCGGCTCTGCCGTTTAACGCTACTACTGCCGCCAAGTCATCGACGTAAGCCGTAGCAGGGAACCGCTCATTTTCGAGCACACTCAGCAACTCATCAAACACTAGCTTCCATAGAGTCGGACCAAGGACTGATCCCTGATGGCATCCCCTCTCTATGGAAGCTTCAGTTTCATAAGAGCTACCTCTGACCTTAACAAATCTGTCCTAGAGATATCTACTTATGAGGGCGTATAGGTTGCTGGGGGCATCGTACTTCTGTAGCTGCTGAAGTGCTCGCGGCCACCAGACACTATCGAAGGCGGAGGATATGTCAAAAAGCAGCAACATGACATACTGCTCAGCCTTCTGTTCAACGTCCGCTTGTACTCGAAGCAGGGCATCAGCGGTTCCCTTTCCCTTGGTACTACCATATTGCCGCGGATGGCTAGCCCTTGCGAGAACTGGTCGTAGGCTGGTTAAGATGAGATTCTCCAGGACCTTGCTCATTATAGGGAGGAGACATATAGGTCTATATCACTTTGGGAGCTGCTTATACCTGCCTCCTCCCTTGTAGAGGAGTCTCAAATCGGCGATCTTCCACATTTTTAGAAAGTATCCCCGATCCAGGCAATCATTGAAAATCCTTAATAATCGCTCATCAATGTAGGGGATACTGTTCTTCAGGATCGCAGCATCTATTGAATCGAGTCCTGGAGCACGTCCTGTTCTCTGCTTTTCCACGGCAATACGTAGATCATGTATGTCCCACGGTGGGCATAAGTCCGTGCCAGCAGGGTATAACGTAGAACGCCGCACGAAAGCTTCTTCCTCATTGTCCTGGGATGGATCATCTCTGGGGTATGTCGCCTTTATGAAGATGTTAGCCGCTTCCTCGAAGGTGGTTGCCTGCGCATCTCCATACTTAAGAGCTGCTATTGTCTGCGGAGGGTTGAACTTACCCATAGCGACTCTGTATGGGATACCCCAAGGATTCTTCGAGGATTCTTCTGCAATAAATTCATCCCAGGACCTACGATTTCGTGAACGTACCTCTCTTCGGTATACTTTGGCTTTGAACTTATACTCGTTGCGAAGTGCAGCGCGCCTCTCGTCACATCTGCACTTCTGGTACGACCGCCGTGCCTTGTAGAGCTCTCTCTTCATTGTTGTTAAGGCCGGCGTCCACCATGGAACTGGTCGAGCTCTCGCTTTCCGATGTTGGAGGGAGTTTTCAGCGGCATCAAGGATAGCATTGGTGACCAGGGATACCCTGTAGTCCAGTTTATCTGTGATCTCCGATTCTGCTACTTCCCAATCTTCATCGGCGAGTTCTCCCTCCAACATGCAACGGAAAGCAGTCCAGTCATTTCTGCGGGTTATGTAGCCAGTGTTGATACCGTGGGAACCTTCTGAGTGCTGAACCAGGCTGAATGCCAATACTTTGTGGTCAGAACTCGTTTCAGATCTGGTAGTCCAATCGACAATGTGCCCTATAAGTGTCGGCGAGGCCAGCGTGACGTCAATCCAGCTCTCACCCATACCTCCAGAGAACGTAGGAGGGGCGGAGACATCGTTTATGACGACTAGCTGGCCTCTAGAAATAAACTCGTTGAGTTTAGCACCTCTTCTGTCTGTTCGATTGGAACCCCAGACCGTGTTCCAGGAGTTGGTGTCTGAGCAAATAATCACATTTCTAGAGTGAGCTTTTTTTTTTTTTTATTTGTTTTCCACCCTCCCATGCCACCAGGGCAACACGGGTGTATGCAGTAGTGTGATGTTAAACATTAATGCATAATAACACACTACTGCCATAATATCAGTTTACAAAGTTCTAAGCTGTGCACACAGCTAGCTCTTCTACTTTTTCCTGGCTCCTTCAGGCCTGGTTTCCCGAATCCGGAGGTCTTCCTGGGACTGGTCCTCTTCTTCTTCTGTGTGCACCTAGGTTGAAGTGAGCTGGGCCTACCGCCGTCTTCCAGCCATTTATAAAGTCTTTGAACCGCGGAAAGTTTTCTTCACTCACCAACTGAGGAAACTCCTCCTCAGTGAGGACGTAAATTTCCGTGGTTCTCATTAACCTCGCTCTTAATTCGTCGAAAGCAGTACAGGCCGTGACCACATGCTCAACAGTCTCCGGAACACCACAAGCGGGACAGTGGGGATCTATATCCTGTCCGAAGCCATGGAGTTTAGCTCTGAAACCCCCATGCCCCGTGAGAAATTGTGAAACCCAATAGTCCGGGAGGACCCATTTCGCCTGTAACCGAGATTCAACGGTGGGAAAGTATTTTCTTAAGGTACTGCCTTTCGAAGTCGTCACCCACCGTCTGCTCCAATCTTCAATTGTTTCCTCCCGGATAATCTTTTTCCATTTATTTGGGTTTTCAATAATCCTCATCCGTAGGTTCTCCGTCAGACTAGTTGAGCCCTCCTTCTTGTAGTCGTACCTGGTCACTTCTTCTCGCAGGAGGAGGTCGAGAGGCACCACCCCCGCTAAGACCTGCACTGCTTCATGCGACGTAGACCTATATGCTCTGGTGACCCGAAGCAGAGCAGTTCTCTGAGTCGATGCTAGCCTATTTCTTTGTCTGAGTGTGAGGTTTCGGAACCAGAAGGGAGACGCATACCTAAGGATACCCTCCACAACACCCTTATAAATAGTGATAGTGGCTGGATACCTAAGGCCCCAAAATGCGCCCCCCACACGACTTAGACCGTTCATTGCTAGGGCCACCCTACCTGCCAGATATTCCAAATGAGGCGTCATATTGAGGCCTACACCTAACCTAACCCCTAGGTAGGTTACCACCTCACTTGGACGTATCCTCTGACCTTCTATGTACATCGTTATAGGGTGTGCCCTATCAGTCTTTCCCTTAAGGAGGATGGCTTGAGTCTTAGCAGCAGCCCTCCTCATCTTCTTCCCCTCACACCATCTAGCGACTAGGCTGGCGCATCGCTCTGCTTCTCTCTTGACTCCAGCTCTGCTGTTGGAGGCCACCACAGCAGCTAGGTCGTCAACGTAAGCAGTGGCAGGAAACCGCTCCTCCTCTAACACTCCCAGTAACTCATCAAAGACGAGCTTCCATAGAGCAGGACCAAGCACCGATCCCTGAGGGCAACCTCTCTCTATGGAAGCTTCTACCTCGTAGTAATTGCCTCTAATCTTGACACTTCTATCCTGGAGATAACTTCTTACTAGTGTGTATAAGTTACTAGGAGCATCATACCTCTGCAGCTGCTGGAGCACGCTAGGCCACCATACGCTGTCGAAGGCGGAGGATATGTCGAAAAGAAGCAACATGACATACCGCTCCGCCCTCTCCTCAACATCTCTGCGCACTCTCAGCAGGGCATCAGCGGTTCCTCTGCCTCTGGTTGATGCATATTGCCGTGAATGACTTGCTCTAGCGAAAACAGGCCGTAAACTAGTCATCATGAGGTTCTCCAGGACCTTGCTAATCACAGGGAGGAGACATATAGGTCTATATGAATTAGGGAGTTGTTTGTCCCTATCTCCTCCCTTGTAGAGTAGTCTTAAATCAGCGATCTTCCATCTTCTTGGAAAGTATCCCATATCCAGACATTCATTGAAAATACTCAACAGCCGGTCTTCAATATACGTGATACTGTTCCTTAAGATCGCTGCATCTATTGCATCAAGTCCTGGAGCACGATTAGTCTTCTGCTTATCCACGGCAATACGAAGATCGTGAATGTCCCATGGTGGGCACAAATCTGAACCAGTTGGATATACCGTGGTGCGTCTCACAAAATCATCATTTTCGCTGTCCTGGGTTGGGTCATCTCTGGGATATATTGCTTCAATGAAAACATTGGCAGTTTCTTCAAGGGTGGTTGCCTCAGTATCATGATACCGCAAGGCTGCAATAGTCTGCATCGGGGACAACTTACCCAATGCTACCCTATACGGAATACCCCAGGGATTCTTCAAAGACTCTTCAATGATGAAATCGTCCCAAGATTTCCGCTTTTGTGAGCGAACCTCGTTTCGGTATATTCTGGCTTTTGACTTGTACTCATTGCGAAGTACAGTGCGCCTCTCGTCGCATCTGCACCTCTGATATGACCGCCGGGCCTTGTAGAGGTCTCGTTTTAGAACAGTTAAGGCTGGCGTCCACCATGGGACAGGTCGAACCCTCGCCTTCCGGTGCTTGAGGGAGTGTTCGGCAGCATCACGAATGTTGTTGGTAATCCTGGACACCTTGTAGTCCAGATTGTCGACTACATCCATCTCTGCCGCTTCCCACTCCTCGTCTGCAATCACTCCTTCCAGGTAGGACCTGAAGACACTCCAGTCATTTATTTTAGTGACGAAACCCTTATCAGTACCGTGGGAACATCCTGGCTCATTTACCAGGCCAATTGCTATCGCAACGTGATCGGAACTCGTATCAGATCTGAGAGTCCAATCAGCAATATACCTCGTAAGCGCAGGCGTGGCGATCGTGACGTCAATCCAACTCTGCCCCATGCCTCCAGAGAAGGTAGGGGTGGCAGAGGGTTCGTTCATCACGACAAGGTGATTTCTGCCTATGAAATTTCCCATTTTAGCGCCTCGCCTGTCAGTAATATTGGACCCCCAGACCGTGTTCCAGGAGTTGGTATCTGAGCACATGATCACATTCCTCATCTCTCTAATGATCGCCTCCATAGCGGATATGCTTTCTTCTACATCACTATTCACAGGTAGGTATGCCGATACCAATGTGAAAGAAATCTTGCCCCACTTAACATAGCAAGATGCATAATCCGCCATGGTGTGTTGTCTCAGATCCATCACGTCAAGGTTAGGATTATTAATCACTATTGCAGCCCTGGGCCTCCTCTCTCCACTGCTCAGGGCTATAACTCTTGACGTGAGGCCAAACCCCGTAACCCTGTTCCCACGGCAGCTAGGTTCCTGGACCGCCATGATATCGTAGCGTTGTGCCATGGCGCGAAGCTCGTCAGCCACAATATGCCGGCGGCCCATATTCAACTGCAGGATGTTGAGTCTAATCATAGTGAGTTCTCCTCACTAATTCTTGAGATCTCTTGATGTGCACTGGGCATTCTCTACTTCCTGCCTGGTGTTTAGCCTTACTTTTTTGAACACCTTCCCTCACGCAGTTAACGCATGTAGGAGCGGTCTTATTTCCTTTTGCGGGACAGTTTTTAGCAATATGCCCACTCGCCGCACACCACTTGCATACTATGCCATTTGCCTCACAAGTAGCTTTTGTATGTCCATATCCCTGACACCTTAGACAGGGAGGAGCATCGGGGTAATCTAAGATTGTCAGTGACCACCAACCTCCTGTAATTATCTCCTCCTTGAGTAGATTATATTTTACCATTGGATGTACTTCTAACACCCAATTATTGGTAATTTTATTTCTAGCCATTGATGAGAACAATGGCTTTATATTACCTAATTGGTTCTCAGAAATAGCGGCCGATTTTGCAGCCAACCTTTCCCGTAGCACCCTTTCTAGATTTTCCGCAGTCCATGAAAGGGGAACTCCTTTTACCTCCACTTTTGGTTTTCTTTTTAAGGCTAGTTTTGCCTCCATCCCAACTTCTTTTAATTTTTGCCATTCAATTATTTTTTTCGCAGGGGCACCCTCATCTACACAAACTAAAACTGAGCCAGCTTTGGTCGCCCGTACAACTCTCGCCTTGACTCCTAGTTCAGTTGGAGAAGGCAGGTTGTTGATGATGTCAGCTGCACTTTTACCTTGAGAAGCGATGGTAACATAAGTTGGTCTTGTAGTATCCATCGGTTTTATTGGAAGCCCTTTAACAATATCGGCCATCGTAGTCTGATGTGTAGACCTTTTCTTGGTCAAACTTTCCTCTGCTATAGGTTTAGAGGCCTCGATCTCTTTGGCCACTTGTGGAAGAGCCTTTTTCCTTCTTTGCTTTTTCTTTACTTCCTGGAAACTTTCATTCTCCGTGGTCTCAATAAGGGCATCGGCTAATAGCGGTTGTTCTTTAACACATGGAAACTCCCGAGATGTCTGAGGTTCTGACAGTGGTCTTTGTATGGTTTTACTTTCCGTCTTGATTCCCTCGATTACCATAGGTACTGCTTTTTCCACTAATGCATTTACTATGATATCATACATTTCAGAGGAAGCTAATGTGTCCTTTACCACACGTTGTACTAAAAACGTTTTTTCATAGTTCTTATCATATATTGTCTCCATTATATCTATTAACTGCTGAATTTTCCCATTAACGTGCTTTTGTACCTTCGCACTCACGTTCCTGTCTGTTGCGTTCATGTAGACCCTGATGTTTTCTTTGATTCTACGTGCATCTTGCAGAAGACTATCGTCTACACGTTCTTTATCTGTTTCTTCTCGGGCGTCAGGAGATCCTTTCCTTTGCCTCTTTGCTGAAGGCCTTGGGCACTTTATAGCCTGTTCTTCCACCATTTCCTGCTCCATTGCTGATGCAATTTCATCAGCCATCTTACGCAATCCAAAATTAACAACTTTATACGTTGAAATAATGGGTGAACAATAGTAGAAGGAAATATTCAACACTCAAAATCTAACCTACGTTCGGGAAACTTATAAATTTCCTATCTTCAAAAGTAAGACTTTAATATGAACTTACCTTAGTCTTGCTTCACCAACGTAATAGTCTCTAAACGTCCTTTTGGTTAGATTAAACCTTCGTGAAAACCACAAAGTTAACCTTAACCTCCACTGTTCACTCAAAAAGTTTATAAAATTAACTAAATAAACATAAACTAAAACTAAATCATGTTCAAAAAACTATAAAACACTAAAATAACACAAACAGTACTAAACGATACAACAAAACTAACAGAACAAACTTGAAAAATACAAAACACTGAGAAGCACAATAATACTTTATCATAGGTAGATAACCTTATAGGTAGAGTGAGCTGTGATAACTTCCATGGCAGATATGTCTTCTTCAATATCTCTTCCGTTAGGAAGATAGGCTGAAACCAGGGTAAAAGATACATTACCCCACCTAACATAACATGTTCGGTTCCTGGACCGCCATGATGTCATATCGTTGGGAAAGAGCACAAAGCTCATCTGCCACAACTCTTCGCCGGCCCATGTTTAACTGGAGGATATTGATCTTAATCATAATATGTTCTTTTAGCCACCTCCTTGCACCACGTTAAGTGCACAGGGCACTTCCGGCTTCCCGACTTGTGCTTCATTTGGCTGGGATGGGTGTTCGCCCGCACACAGTTAATACAAGTCGGGTCAGCCATTACCTTTTTCTTTGGGCAATCATTTATCATATGACCACTATTTGAACACCAAATACATACAACAGCATCTGCCGTGCATGTGGCCTTTGTGTGGTCGTAGCCCTGACACTTTGTGCACCGAGGGGCGTCGAGGTAGTCCTTAAACGTTAAAGACCACCACCCTCCATTCAAACTACCTATGTCTAAAAACTGGAACCGAACCATTGGGTGCACCTCCAGCACCCAATTCTTAGTAAAACCGTTTTTAGCAGTTGAGGAAAAAATGGGTCGGATGTCGTCATTAATCAATGGTGTTGGGACCGACTTCTCGGGTATTCTTTTCCAAAGAAATTTTGAAAGTTCATCTGCGCCCCAGGAGTGGGGTACACCCCTCACCTCCATCTTAGGCTTTTTCCTCAGCGCTAACTTTGCCTGTAACCCGTTCTCCCGCAGGCCCTGCCATCCTATCACTCTGGTGGCATGAGAGCTGTCCTCTATGCGGACCAAAACTGAGCCTGCTTTAGTTGCCCGAACGATAGATGCATTTACACCTATGTCATTAGGTGACGGAAGTCCATTTATGATATCTGCTGGGCTTTTACCCGAACCACTAATTGTAAGATATGTTGGTTTTGTTGTCAGGGTCGGTTTCATAGGCAGTGATTTTACGATATCTGCCATCGTCCTTGGCTTCTCTTTTTTAGGTATGTTTCCAAGCACAGGAGTCTCATCTTTATTTTCTTGATCCTGAATTTCGTCTTTTCTTCTTTACTGCAATTTAGATTTCCTCTTGCTTCTTTTGCTTTGGACGACTTCGAAGGTTTTGTTTTCCTTCTAGTCTAGATTACAAGAATAAACATTGTTTGCCTCCTTAGAAGTTCCGGCTATGGCTGCAGGCGGATGTTTGATTGGCTTATCTTCCTCCGGTAGCCTTGTTTTCGGTTTTTCCAAAATTTGACTACTGATGAGTTCAAGTACATATGGAGATTCCAATGTTTGTTTAACCACTTTTTGGACAAGTGTTGTGATTGTATCTTCTTTGTATTGATCTCTGAGTTCCTTGGCTGTATTGTAAGTATCCTCAATAATACCAACTAATTTTCCGATTTTATCATTAATATAATTCCTCGTTGTGTTATTGATTTTTTTGTCAAAATTCTTGAGGAACGTTTTTAGGTTGCTTTGAATGCTTCTTGCCTCATGCAAGAAGCTCCTTTTACTCCCTTATTCCATTTCCTCGTCGGTGTCAGTCGATCTGTTTCTTGGTCGTTTGGCCGACGACCGATGATCTTGGTTTGTACTTCCTTCAATAGACTCTTCTTCCATTTTAGAACTTTTACTATCCATCATAAAAAAATACGTCGATTATTTGAAATATAATAATATTTCAATATTCAATTAACCTAATTAAATTTGATACGGTGGGAAAAATGTTATTGCACAATCTACTTATATAAACGAATATACAGTCTTACCTGAAGCCCGTTTATAGTATTTCCCGAATTGTCTGTAGTATTCTATAATTTAGGCGTTAAACACTTCGTTGATAACCACTTGGTTACCTAACCTACAAAGTTCTCCTTATCACAAAAATCCAATTAAAAACAATAAATCATAACTATAAACTAACGAAAACTATAAATAATAACGACAAAAACGATAAACAACACAACTATAAACACTTAAACTAATAATAGAACACAATAATACAAAATAATTGGGATAAACACAAATTGACAACTTATCACATCAAGCTACAATCGATATATAATGAAAATCAGAAATTTATAATGGTTGTGAGGCCTAGGTAACCTAACCTATCCAGCAGTATGGTTAGTCTCCCCGCTACTTTTACCTCAGTCCCCCCTCCACTTCTCGTGAATGAACCTTTGATTTCCGGATGTTCGGCCATCTTCTTTTCAGAAGCCTCGGAGAGTTATCAGGAATTGAAGTGGAAGCAAGGTTAGAAACGAGAGGATTGGGATGATTCTAAAGTTTATTATGGAAGGATAGGTATCTGGATTGGGCCAGATCTGAAACATAAGAAACATTAAGGTCCTTATAGATGGTTTTATTTGCAACAAAGTAGGGAGCATTGAGGATTTTACGAACGATTTTGGATTGTAATGATTGGATACGTAAGGAATTCGATGGTTAAGTGGAGCCCCATAGTTCAACTCCGAAAGTCCAACTAGGCCTTATTATAGTCATATATATAAATATTTTGTAATTAATTGGAAGTCTAGAGCGTTTTTGTAGTAAGTGCTGAAATAATCGGAAACGTCGAGCGGTTTCTTGTCGTTTCAGTAACATGAAATATAAATTACAAATAATAGCTCATTATAAAGACTGCTGAACATTTCCCTCGTTTACAATACGCAGGTCCGATTTTTATCTTCTGAGATATGTTAATCTATATCTACCATAAACCCTTTAATTTGAGTATGCGATTCTATTGTATCCCAGTATTTTTCAATTATTTGTATTGTTACCTATTGTCTATTTTATTTATTCTTTTAAGCATTTGATCCACCTCCATTGAGTTTTTTACATCATTGTCACCATCTGATTTTTTGTTATTAGGTGTGAAATTGCGATATTTAGCCGATTTTTTCAGTTTCCTCATTGATATTACTGATGATAGGACTAAGTGGAGCGCCACTTTTATGTAGCTTTATTAATTCATGTACTCTAGGTGTATTGCAGTTAGGGTTAATTATTTTAATTTCATTTAATAAGAAATATTTAAAGTTAATAACAAAGTTATATTGCATAAAATAAATACATAAAAGCAAGGTGAATCTAAAAATGTCTTCAATGATTTATAATTTATTTATTTAAATTAGTGATATTTACTAGTTTATGTTATATCCAACGACTGTATAATATTTATGTGGAAATTCCAGTTGAAAGGTTATGTAATGTTATATTATTATATATTTTCCATTATGCCTAAGAATTTCTGCTATTATTATCATTTATATTATTTCTCTTCTTATTTTTTATAAATTGTTAATAATGTTGTCAAAATAAAATTTCAATGTTGTAATAATATTAGCATTTGTACTATATATTATCATTTGGTTTTGGACACTCTCCTTTTCCCTCTAACACGGTTTCCATTAGTTTTGTTGGTTTCCCTCAACAACTCTCTAACACAGTTTGGTTAAGATACTATTTTGAATAATAGCTCACTACCAAGAACACAAAATACTGAACATTGCTCTCTCTCTCTCTCTCTCTCTCTCTCTCTCTCTCTCTCTCTCTTACAGTATACAGGTCCGATTTTTAGTATTTGAAATATTTTAATCTATATATTCAACTAACCTCGTTATCATTTGGTTTTCGACACTATTTTTTCTTTTCGTCTCCCTAACACGGCGTCGCGTAAAGATACAATTTTAAATTATAGCTTATTACAGAGAGGATGAAATGATGAACAGTTTCCTCGCATACAGTCCGCAGGTCCGATTTTAGTTTTGAGATATTTTAAACCATATGTAAAAACACTTCAATTAGTCCACTATAGCCGACTTTATCCAAGCGTTAAAATCTGACGGATCAAACTAATATTCCGTGGTACTGACCCCTTTTTGTCGAATTATTAACATCCGCCTGAAACTTCGTAAATAGTTTCATCTCGTCGTAACCTAAAACTATTTTATTTGCGAAAACTCTTGGAATTGGGGTGTTTTCCATCTGGAGAGGGGCAAACTTTGTCTATTTAATTAAGTACTAAAAACTCGTAAATGCTTCCATTTGCTTTCTGATTTGATTGTAAGATAATTTAAAATCAAAATCGATAAAAAAGGTGGCCTTTAAAAAATATTAAGCCGTTTGGCGTGACCTACACCCTCAAATTTCCAAAATAACGAGTTTATGTAGGACAGAAGGCCCAATATTTTTTTAAAGGCCTCATTGTTTATCGATTTTGATTTTAAATTACTTACGATCAAAGTAGAAAGCAAATGGAAGCATTTACGAGTTTTTAGTACTTAATTAAATAGACAAAGTTTGCCCCTCTCCAGATTGAAAACACCCCAATTCCAAGAGTTTTCGTAAATTAAATAGTTGTAGCTTACGATGAAATGAAGCTATTTACGAAGTTTCAGGCGGACGTTAATAATTCGATAAAAAGGGGTCTGTACGACGGACTATAATTCACAAAAAAGTGCAAAACGCGTCTAAAGATGTTTTCACTTCTAAAATTAAAATTTCATTTAGATAAACTCG